CAGTACCAAAAAAGAAAAAAAAGAAAAGAAAAGAAAAGAAAAGGAAGGAAGGAAGGAAGGAAGGAAGGAAGGAAGGAAGGAAGGAAGGAAGACTTTCTTGAAAGACAGGTGGCCCACTGGTGGGCTGCGAGGACTCAAGCCTTCCTAGAGAGGGCTTGCTCTGAGTATGTAATTTATTCCTTCCACTGGGACCATTTATAGCTCAGGCACACAGCTACCCACTTTTTAACCATCCATCTAGGGAAGGGAATTGGGGGGGCATTACCTTTGGGAGGAGGAAATAAAGAATGGGGTTATGATTCCTGCGCTGGGGATATAACTCAGTAGCAGAACACTTTCCTAGCATTTACAAGGCCCTGGGGTTCAATCCCCAGCACCACAAAAAAGAAAAACAAAAGCTTGCATTCCAGGTCAAAGTTATGATTCCCGGCATCAACAGAAGAGCCCAGAGGCCTCAAAGTCAAGCTTCATGTTTACATAGTTCATCAATTTGTGTTGCTCCAAAGTCAGCAGCTTAATCAAATTTAACCAGGAGACGATCAAATAGCCAGCAGAGGCATCAGGACGAAGAAAGGCAACACCACCACTTGATTGTCCTAATCCTTTAAGAACCAATTGCTTCAACCTCCTGTTGCCTATTATCATTCAACTATTAACCTATCTGACATGTTTCCCCCTTTTGTGCTAAGTATTTCTGTAGACAAAACTTAAAAGCAATCTGTTGGGTTTCATTAAGTATTGGGATGGGAAGGGTCACTCCTACCAGTGCATCAGCAGATGGACATATCTTTTTCAAATCAGCAGGACCGGAAAGGAACAAAACAGGGGGGCTGGGTTAATAATGGACTTGGAGTTCCCAGGGGACACTAGGCGAGGTAGAGATGGGTGCGATACGGCAGTGAATCATTTTGCCCCACCTGAGAGATGTGGATGCAAACCCCCTCATGCAGCTCCCCAAAGTAGTACAAACCAGAGTGATGACAAAATGTACACAGTCCAAGCATCTCTGGTGAAAGTCTCTGGCTAAAAGTAGCATCTGGTGACCCCTGGCTTGCCTCGGCACTTTTGTCCCAGAAGACAGAGGAAACAAGGAAGGCAGCTCCAACACCCTACTCAAGTCTGGCCCGCCAGGAGGACCTGCTGAGTGGCGTGGAAGGGTGGGAGTCCTCGTGTTTCGCCTTGACCCTTGCTGACCTAAAAAATAACAGGTATAAAAATGTTTATCCAAAAGGAACATAGTGCAAATGATATGATGTTTGTGATTTACTTCAGAACTGTCTAGTGGCAGCAGGAAGGGAGTAGGCGGTAGTTCGGAGAAGATGTAGAGAAAACAGGATTGTCTATGAGTTGGCAATTGTTGAAACTAGGTGGTTTCAACAGTGAAGCATGGGGGGCTCATTCTCTTACACTATCGTGTACTGTGTCTTCTATATTGTGTTTGACATTTCTCACAATAACAAGGAAAACAATACAAACTAAGTATATGCCTCATTCCAAGGCAAAACAAAACAAACTCTTAAAAGGAAGAATGACTTCAAGACATGACAAGCTTTCAAAAAAGACATAATCTATCATAGAGGCTCACACAATCCTCACAGGAAGGGGTGTGTGTCTATTGGGGGGGCACAAGGTGGGAAGGCAGAATCTAAAACAAATGGCTAGGCTGAGTGTGGAACACCAAAGGGGTCATCTGGATATTTGTGGGGATGTTTTTGTGTGGTACTCAGTGGCAGCCATGCTGGTTCTCAGAGGGTGAAGGGGGCCAGGGTTACTAAATATCCTCTAGTGCAAGCACATAGAACTATCTTGCTGAATGCCAGGAATGGCCCCTGCTGAATAGTGCTGATGCGACAGAAACAAAGCCTGAAGTAACCCTCGGAGGAGGAGCTCTCCTATTAAAAGATTTTAAAGGCACATGGTCCACGCATGGGAAGAACATGGCGAAGGAAGAGTCGTAAGGGCCATGTGGAGTTGTAAGAAGTGGGCCAAGAAAGCCAAAGAGCCTGGCGTGGTGGCGCACGCCTGTAATCCCAGCCCTCAGGAGACTGAGGCAGGAGGATTGCCATGAGTTCAAAGCCAGCCTGAACTACATAGTGAGACAGTCTCAAAAAAGAAAAACAAAACCAACAAAAAAGCCAAAGAGTGAATGACTGTAGACTTGCCAAGGGTTAGGAATATACACAGCACAGAGAAATAGAACGTTTGCAGATTTGAGAAGGAGGGAGGATTTCCCGTAATCTAAGAAAGGTCACACCAACATAAAGAAAATTGGAGGAAAATGGTAAGAAGATCTATAGACCAGTACCCATGTCCCCAGCAAGCCCGTGTTAGGACTTCACCTAGAGGACTCTCACCTCAGATACCAGGAGAAATCCTCTCTCCTTCCAGGAACTTCAATTAAAATATTTTTTTTTCATTTATTTTGGAGCCACCATAAAAAAAAAAATCCTTGCAGTTTTTCTACTTGACTTCAAACTTCCCAATGATATTCATGCTTACAATAGCACTTTTGTGGGACTGAGCACTCAGCAGATTTAGAAAAAGTCCAGGGTGATCTTTACCCTGCCTCTTCCTCTTCCACTTTGTTTAAATACACACACACACACACACACACACACATATACATATATACACACACACATATATATGTGTAATTTAAATTGCATGTAATTTAAATTGGCACATAATAATCTACTGGGAGATGTAATAAACCATAGGCCACCAGTCCCATCATGGTGAGCAAGCCTAAGCTGTAACATTACAGGTCCTGGTCTGACCTCACACTGTGGATCAGAGCCTAACCTCCAGGAGCACATGCTGTGGGGAAACAAGGGCACACTGAAACAACAATTCCAAAACCACCAGAAGACACCAGAAGGTTGCATCCTAAATGAGTTGCACAGATGGTGAATGATGTTAAGTTAAACAAGGAAGAAGAGCGGTGGCTTGAGCTCTGCAGGGAGGGCTCTGTGAAACAAAGAGGTGCAACCACAATTCTAAAAGAGAAGCAGGTTCTGAAGAACCACAGGAGAAGGCCAGGGTCCACTTGTGGAAGGCACAGAGCTGGGGCAGGAAGACACACGGTCCTCCATGACCATGGCCTAACTTACCCTTCTACTCTAACCATCGGACCTGGCTGACAGGTGCTGCATGCCATCTTCTGGTCTTGCCCAGACCTCGGACATCACTGGGCTCTCGGCTTCCAGGCCACTTGCTTCTGACTCATTGCTGCTCAGGTCCTTGGGTCACTGTGTGCTCAGTTCCCCACCCAGCGCTTTTTGCCAAAGGCCACCAGTACCTTGGCCTGAAATAAGGAAACGTTCCTGGCTACACCTGGGCAGGTGGCCAGGCAAGTTCCCGAGAGAGGGAATGAGCACAGCCTTCTCATGTGGGCAAGAAACATGGGTATTTCATGCAATCAAACCCGGGGGAAAGTTTGTCCAGAAACGGTCTCTTGTTTTCATTATGCTTTAATACATTCCTTTTTATTTACCCATTTTATTCCTCTCTATTCCATTTTGACTCTTCAAAAAATTGGTTAACTTGTTCAAAAAATTGGGATAATCTGGCAAAAGATTAACTAAAATTTTGGCAAGCTGCACCACAAGAAAAAAGAAGTTGGTATGTGAATCCCTCACAATACGGTATCTGGAATCAACTTAAATCACATTAGTCCATCCACTCCGCCAAAAGTCAGTAAATCTACATAAGTCAAGATACTGAGATCAAAATAATCTTGTTATGTAAGTTATTCCATGATGAGGTCATAATATCACGATAATCTGAAGTAAATCATTAGATTCATTCCAAATCTGATTTTTAAAAAAACTGTATATCATAGATCTCTTATACCTTGTTATTTCCATTCACAGTCCAGTAATCAAGAATAATTTTTTCTCCTAAAAATTAGAAACTGAGTGTTCTACTAAAATGCCCAACTAGATAACCTAGAATGATAGTTGACTGTGTAATAAAAATACATTAAAATACAATGCCCGTGGATCAGGAAAGAGCAAGCACAACATTATACTTTTTCTTCATTCCCTGGCTTTGCTAACACCATATTTGAATTCTTGGGTTTGTGCTTATCCGTGACCACGATGAAACAGGGATGAACGTTCTGAATTTTTGAAGGGTGCATGTGCGTGTAAGTGTGTGTTTGTGTGTTATTGCTGAGCTTGGGGGCACACATTTCTCTTAATGAAGAACTCCTGATAAGCTGTAAAAGTTCTCAACATGCAGACACTTGCTAACAACAGCGTGTCTTCCTTGGGAAAAGCAACTGGAGAATACGAAGCAGTTGATGTGTAAGTTCTGTTTATTCTCTGCCCAACAACTGAGGGAGATACTGGAGAGATTCTAGAGGACAGGGTTTTCCTGACGGGTTTCGGGAAGGCCAGTTTTGACATCATTTTAGTGTGTTGGTTACTGAGTTTTTAGCACGACTGTATGTACTCAGCTCTTTAGTCTGATGTTTCAGTCATATTCTGCACCACCTTTTAATTCACTCTACACTGCTGAAGCCAACGTAAATTGATAAAGGGATTTCTGGGCACTAAACTAGAACGAATGTTTTTCCCCAAAGAGTTCTGGTGGGAAATGAGATAATGAATCTGGTGTGGGGTCTTCCACATCAATGGGTCTTTCAAGTGGTCACTCACATATCTGTTGATGGATCATTACGCTTAAGTCAGATCAAAGACAAGTATTAAAAATTATGAAGTTCGGGTTTGATCAAACCTCAAACACATGGAGTTTTACTCATTTAAAGCAAATGTTCTTCTTTCTGAAATCTTTTTTTGGTTTCTGAAAATTCTTTTTTTTTTTTTTTTTTTGT